GGGTGATGATCCCTGTCCGTACCCACGCACCCCCTGAGCAGGCTGTGCTGTTCCCGCAGAGAGCCGTCGTGCGCATGGACGAGCGCAGGGAAGAGCAGATCGTGCAGCTCCTGAATTCCGTCCAGGCTAAGAACGACAAAGAGCAAGAATCCATGTCCTGGTGGTCCGGGGATGAGGAAAGGTAAAGAGGCACTGGTTCTTTTAAAGTTCCCACAGACTGGCAGGAAGATGTGCCAGAAGGTATTTACCTTTAGTGAGTGAGTTGACTTAACAGGTTTGTCCACCTGTGTTGTCACACTGAAATGGTTGTAGCCATTGCTGTAAAACTGTCTTCCATCATTGTTGAGCTTCGGGTCTAACGTTTCTACTTAAAATCGTAACATCTTGTAACTGATCTCAGGCCCTACTTAGGGTGCATATGTGGGACCTTTAAGCTTCCCTGGTCTCTGGAGTTACTCTTCCAGAGGTGGCATTTGACTTGTGTTTTCAGTTATTGTGCAGTTTTGGAGTCTTTTGTCCCCCTCTGTGGAGCAAAGTATGTTCTGAATTCGCTGAGGATTTCAGGTGATGGAGAACTGGGCAGGTGTGCTGAAATGAGGGCATGGAGGAGCCAGTTACAGTTACAGGGCGCTGGGCCAAGCAGTAATTTTCTGAAAATGTTTTGTTGCTTGGTTGCTTAATTTGGTACAATTTTTGGTGGCTCATAATTTCAGACTTTAATTGGTTCCAGGGCATGCACCATAATGACAGGCTGCAAGAGAAACTGTGGCTGCCCCATCCCTGAAGTGCCCAAGGCCAGGTCGAACAGGGCTTGGAGCAACCTGGGCTAGTGGAAGGTGTCCCTGCCCATGGCAGGGGTGGGGCTGGATGGGCTTTACGGTCCTTCCACCCCAAACCATTCCATGATTCTGTATTCCTACGGGCTGGTGGTTCACTGACTGATGGACGAAACGTCTCAACCCCAAGTTCATGTGTTCCTGTAGTGGCTCCCTGCACGTGGCCAGGCTTAGCTGGGATCATCTCTGAGGTTTCTGTTCTCTGATTCCAGCCCTACAGAACAGCCTGTGAAGGTGAAACCAGATGCTGAAAAGGCTACTGTAAGACGGAGACCGGCCTTGGAAAAAACATCCCTGGATCGGGATGTGGAATATCTCTTTGAAAAAAATGAACAGGATACTGATTTAGATGAGCAGCTTAAAGAAGACTTAAGGAAGAAGAGATCTGATCCCAGATATATTGAAATGCAGGTACTTTTTGTTGGATTTTTTTTTCAGTTAAACTGACCTGCAAATGTACCTGTTTGCAGTTTATTTACTAGGAAGTTGTCATGATGTTACTTTTGCTAAAAATTGCCTTCAGAATTTTATAAGTGCCTATTGATAAGACAGTGATTAAAAATGTGGAATTACCAATTTCAGGGACAATTAGAATCTATAATTCAGAGATGACACATTGTTTTATTGGGTGGGGTTTTCTTTCTTTTTATGGGTTATGTCCCTGCACTTATGTCTAAAACTGAAAGCACAGCAATGGGCTCTGAAGGAATCACTCCTTAGAAACAGAGTTTATGTTATTTTAACATCCATGTATAGAAAGCTGTGAAGTAAAACAGTTGCCATGAACACCAGTTCTCCCTTTGGTACCGAGCCCTGCTCTTGCAGCTGTGTGTGCCTTCCTCAACATGTGCTGAACTACTGGGCTTAGATCATTTTGCTGAATTTAATGAAACTGAAAACACACGTGGAAATAAAGTTATTCTCCTTGGACCTGGGTTTATATAAGTATTGCTGAGGAGGTTGTCATTATTTCGCAGTTTAGCCTGGATTATGGATGGAATCTGTTACGTTGCTTCAGTTAAAGAGGTGTTTAAAGGTACTTTTATTTTCTGTTCCCCAGAGGTTTCGAGAGAAGCTCCCCTCCTATGGCATGAGAGAGGTAGGTGTGTGTTTAACTACAGAGAATACGTGTTTCTGCTGCTGTGTTGTAAAATAGTGGCTGTACTGCTGGCTCTGACTGCCATTAGTTTCCCTGTCACAGGATAACATCAGTGACAGTAAAGGCTGTTATTAATTGGTGTTAATTCTTCATTTGGTGCCCCTCGTGTGAAGTAGAAAGTGAGTATTCTAATAGGTTTGCTTTTGCAGGTTCAGTGAATGATTAGTGAGCTTTGTCCTGAAATTCATCTATTTGCCATAATGTCCTTTCTGTTAGTGTTTGTCTCCTGAAATTGTCATAATGCCCTTGACAATCCTTGGGCTTGGGAGGTAGGGGCTGGGAAGCTGTTCCTGGTGGTACAAGAAATGTTAAAATACTGTGCTAAAAACCTTCAGTTCATGCAGTCTTGGAGGCCAACAGGGTAAATGGTGGTTTTTAGTCCCCAGAGACGTACAGGAGGCAAGCAGGAGGCAGAAAACTTTAAAGTGTATTTTAGGTTTGGGTTTTTTTAGTCCTTTCATGTTGTTTTCATATGAGATTTAAAACCAGTGCTCAGGTTGGATGTGCTTTAAACCTTACGCATGGAAAGCGCAAATGAGCACCTCCCGTGAGGTTTAGACTAAACTTTAGTTGCAGTGTTGTGACAAACAGCTCAGTGTTCCTTCAGCTGTTGTGACTCTGCTCAAGGGTCACTGCATGTTAGCAGAGAATGGTCAAAACCCTCTAAAATCTGATTTGAACAATAACTCAGTGACCGTGTTCTCTGTGGAACCAGGAGCTCGTGAACCTGATCAACAACAACCGTGTGACTGTGATCAGTGGGGAGACGGGCTGTGGGAAGACGACCCAGGTGACCCAGTTCATCCTGGACGACCACATCGAGCGCGGGAAGGGCTCCACGTGCCGGATCGTCTGCACCCAGCCCAGGAGGATCAGTGCCATCTCCGTGAGTGCCCTCGGCAAACTCGCTTCCTGGGGGGGGTTATCTCTGTGAATCTGAGCTTTTTGTGTGCTCCTTCCCAGTTGTCTGAGGTTCTGTTACAAGCCACGATTTTGTTCCTGTGCGCTGATTTGATATTTCACAAGTGTTGGTTGGGGTTTGAGTACTGGCACTGCAGGCTCGTTCTCCGAGTTTAGCCATGGGTTATATCTGGGATTTTAATGGATTTTGCAGTGCAAATGTGAATTACGATAAAAACTAATGCTGTGTCAGGCCCTCTAGAGGTGGATTAATGACAGGAAAGAGTTTGGCTCTCAAGTGCTCAGTAATTACTCTTCTTGCTAGTTCAGTGTCAAGTGATGAGAGACCCTTGCTTTACCCTGAGGGAAAGCTCACCCTGCTGAAGGGGAG